AAACATGTTTGATATTTATGACTCAAAACATTCACGAATCCTGCAGTGTGAGAAGGTCAGAGATTTACTCAAGAAGTGATTCAAACAGCCAATCAGGGAGCTAGAAGAGCAGAGAAACAGGCGAAGAGACGTGCATGAACAGCAGAGCAGAGACAGAGGAGCTGCAAGTAACACACAGGCAGATAAGAGCCGATATCATGTTTATGATGTTGATCCAGACGTCAGGTGAAGTCAGATTTCGTCCTCTGCCTCCTAACCGAACTCGTATTTGTTCAGGATCTAGTGTGTTTGTTAGCTCAGTGAGCCAGGACCTGAGTACGGGTTCCTCTTTCTTCCTCCAAAAGCTTAAACTAAGCTTTCTGGCTGTCATTAATCTATAGCAGAGGTCACTAATAGACGGACCGTGGTCCGAGTCTGGACCCAGACGCTGTCCTATGCGGACTTGGGCCTATAACCGATAAACTAAGGAGAATTTTTTCATTTCGATGGGTGGTCCTATTTTAATCAGCGTAGCCTTTACGGTAGCTTTAGTGGCCCAGGAGACTCACAGACCAATCGCATGTACTGTAAATATTACACGTGACGCTACCCAGCCAATCAGGTCTGTGCATTGCGATGAGCACTGAGACTCGAGTGAGTGACGCGCACACACAGGGGAGGGACGAGGGAGAAACAGCAGTCGGAGAAGAAAGTGAGTCAGAGGGAAGTTATTTCACATGTCGTGATCTAAAAAGAGAAAACTGATAATAAATGTTGTTGAAATATGACTGAACTGTACTTTATTTGATTTGATATTCAGTTGTTGACTGTATAAGATGTTGATATACCTACTAGGCTACTTCAGTAAACAGTATAAGGCACTGAGTCATAATGCAAGTTAGACATTATGATGTTCTGGACCTTTGTTTGAGAATTTTCTTTGACTGGACCTTATTGAATTTAGTTAAAGACCCCTGATCTATAGGAAAGAACCCGCCGCTGAGCTAAGGGTGACCAAGTCGAGGGCTCTGAAAGTGTGTCTGGTTCAGTCTGACATTTAAGGACCTCTGAAGAACACTTTGAACATTTCCTGCCAGTAACCTTGTAGTTTATGGCACACCCTTAAAAATGATGGCTCTTCAAGGGTTCTTTAGTGAAGAAAATGGTTCTATATAGAGCCATAAACACTCAAAGAACAATTTGCATGATTAAAGGATTCTTTGCATCATGAAAGCGTTCTTTGGATTGATGTAGAATGTGCTGTTGATGGTTCTATAAAGCACCTTTCTGAAAAGGGTTCTACACGCCACCAAAAAGGGTTCTTCTATTGTTACGATGTCAACTAAAGAACACTTGCAGAACCATCTTTTTAAAGAGTCTATCTTAACTCCTAACTCCATGTCCCAGTTTCCTCATATAGATGCTTATAGTGAACCTTCCTGACCATGAAACTGCTGCAAAGGCTAAAAATGAGAGGACGGTTGTCGTCTTGAACTGAGCTTCGATGCTACAGCCCTGAATATTTATTAACCAGCTGGAACCTTGTAATGTTTACACATCACATGCTTCACCCTGACTTGATTACACAGCAAATGAGCAAATCTGCAAACGTAAAAACAATCATTTTAGAATTTTAAAGGTCAACTTTTTAAAGTTTGAAGTTAATTTCATCATTAGATGCCAAGTTGTGTGTTGCATTCTGTTAACTCTTTTTTTGAAGTACAATAAAATAAAAACATTATTATTATTAATTTAATTAAAACTTACTTTTTAAAGTTAAAACTCCAAGTCAGTTTTTACAGTGTCCATAAAAATACTCATCTGAAAACCAGCCAGACCTGAATATGATGCTGTACATGAAAAAATGTTTACCTGATATTTTGTTGGGTTCAGGTCGAGCTGCAGCCCTCTAACAGTGAATATGTTTACATGCACTTAATCCGATAACTGCAGAAAACAGTAACCGGTTCAGTGTATTTACACCTAATAATCCGATAACTGCTGAAAATCAGGTTGTGTCAGTAACTGGTTCAGTGTGTTTTCACGCTCTTCTGTGATCAGATAATGGAGAAATACTCCAGGTCTACATGAGTCAGGCAGTAATCAGATTTCTGCTTTACAACCAGCCAATAAACTCACAGAAGACGACGTTTAATTTCGTCAAGCATGTATTTGGTTTCAGCATTGCTCCAAAAGTGTTTTACTGCGTCTCGCGGCGACGCTTCTCACTTATTTCCGGTATCGTCATCTGTTTTCGCACATGAGCAGACTGAGAAATCCGAAAGAAATCAGAGTAAGAGTTTACAGCACTGAGAAATCTGATTACTGAGCTAAATTACTGATCCAGCCTCTTTGTTGGATTTTTTAATCAGATTTCTAGACCTTACACCGATCTAAAAAATTGGAATGTGCTGTTTACACGACCATTTGAATAATCAGATAACTGATCGCATTATTGCACGTAAATGCACTCTGTGTTCATCAGGACACAGTTATCCACATGGAAGGCTTTGCTTTGATTTTAATCAAGAAGAGTTTCACTACAAAGTGAGTTACAGTTTCAGTACAAAATTAAGTTTTTGGGCAGCAGTACAAATCATAAATAATACAGTGTGATTCAAAAAGATTCATCTGATTTCAAACTGATTTATTTCACTTGTAAATCATTACAGATCAGTGCAGTGAACTGTAAATGGTTTAAATGATCATAAAGTTTATGTAATTGTACAAGGTCTCAGTCTGAACCTCCTCCAGCTGTACAGACAACATCAACGCCATAGTCAAACTCATCCCATACTGGATTGAGCATGTCGGGTGTGGCTGCACTCACGGCTCTTTCAGTGCGATTTCGGAGATCATCCAGTGTTGTGGAACCAACGCCGAACGCTCTGAGCTGTTGGAGCTTCACTGCTAATGAAAATCACACTGCACAGTTATGACGGATTCACTCTTATTGAAGTGGAGAACGCAGAACGCTTTCTGCTCAGGGGTCTCATCTCCTCTCAGACTGAAGGGAGCCATCTTCCACTGACAGTCAGAAACTCTATGACCCCCTCTTTCAATTGGATTGTGATTGGTTCCTAGGCGCCTCATGGTTGTAAAAATATGACGCTTTGAAATCGGATGAATCTTTTTAAATCCTCCTGTATTTCTGTTCCTTATGAAATCAAAACTTGTGTATGTAAGTTGTGTACAGGATTGAGTGTTGCTGTGTTTGTACAGCTGGGGCTTTTAGAGGCTTTATTTATTTATGTGCTTATAATCCACATTAGCAGCAGGATATTAGTGATGGCTGATCAGCCATCAGTGTCATTCGAATAAATGTTTATGTAAATCTAAATTATAACTGCTCTCTGGAGATCAGAAGGTGACCCTTCTACAGGTTCACTTTGGAGGTCGAACCACAAACTCTGAACCATTTCAAAACAGCGATGATGTTTTGAAGTTTTGTTTGCTGAAATCATGTAACCTGGTCTCATACAGGCCTTGAATCGCTGTTTCGAAACAGGCAGCTGAAAACTTTAGCATGTTTCGAATCACTGTTTCAAGAACCAGTTGATAGCTTAGCTAGCCTGCTAATGTTAACAAGACGTCTGTTTGTACAACAGTGTCTGACGGTGTTTGTTCTGCTCTGTCAGCTGGCTTTTATCACAACCTTTATATAAAAATCAGAAGTGTGGACCAAGTCATATGAATTGGATTTGAGTCAGACTCGAGTCACAAATCTGATCTGCAGACTCAAGCACCAAAACTCTCACTTTGGCTCAAACACAAAAAACTCAGACTTTGGCTCGAACATTGATGACTCTGACTTTAACAATAATGACTGACTTGAACACAAAAGACCCTGATTTTGACTTGAGCACCAAAGACTCTGACTTTGACTCAAATACAAAAAACTCAGGCTTTGGCTCAAACACCAAAAACTTGGACTTTGCCTCATACACCAATGACTCTGAATTTGACAATTACTGACTTGAACACAAAAGACTCGAACTTTGACTCGAACACCGATGACACTGACTTGAACAAAAAAGACTCAGATTTTGACTTAAATACAAAAGACTCTGACTCGAGCACCAAAGACTCCGACTTTGACTCGAGCACCAAAGACTCCAACTTTGACTCGAGCACCAATGACTCCAACTTTGACTCGAGCACCAAAGACTCCGACTTTGACTATAACACAAACAACTCTGACCTAAACACCAAAGACTCTGACTTTGACTCAAATACAAAAAACTCAGGCTTTGGCTCGAACACCAAAAACTTGGACTTTGCCTCATACACCAATGACTCTGAATTTGACAATTACTGACTTGAACACAAAAGACTCAGATTTTGACTTAAATACAAAAGACTCTGACTCGAGCACCAAAGACTCCGACTTTGACTCGAGCACCAAAGACTCAGACTTTGACTCGAGCACCAAAGACTCCGACACTTAAGGCCTTGTACACTCACCATCGCTTTTGCTCAGCACGGCTGTTGTGTTTTCTGTTGTTTGTCATCCAATTTATCGAAAATTTAAACTTTTAGCAGTTTTCAGTTTGATTTGACTGATTGACAAATTCAGTGCTCCCAGAAATGATAAATGATATTTGACTATAAAGAGTTTTTCAACTATAAAAAAAAATTAATAGTATTTCTTTTCTTGTGTAGTAAATTCTGTTCATGTGTGGTTCACACTACTCTTTGCGTTCACCGTTATCTGCCATGGTTACGTTCAGTACCACAGATTTGTTTATTATTTGGAAGTGTAATAAGTAGTAAACGTAATATACAACCATACGCTACTAACACGCTGTCATTAACAGGCTATCTTACTATCATGTACTATCATTTGTTACTATCATTTGTGGTGTCCAGTGTCAAAATCTGCTGAACAATCCAAACTGACCTGTTTAGGCTCAGGACTTACTGTGTTGGACAGGACTCTGGTTATAACCATCAAGGTGAAGAGGTAATTAAGTTTGCATGAACGAGTCACCGTGTAAATCCTGAGGGTCACTTTAACTCACCCAGCATTTTGTAGGCTCGTTTGGGTGTGTACTGCCTCTTCATTTTGAGCGGGTGGACGATGCCCTGGTACCTCTCCACGGCGATGCAGGTCATGGTGAGGATTCCCGTCACTATAGCCGTGGTCTGGACAAACGGGACAGTTTTACAGACCAGCACACCTGCAGGAGGGATGAAGGAAAATCAGAATGTTTTAGAATATGATTTTTCCAAATACAGATATACGAGGAGTTTTCCTCGGCGTTGATGAGAACGGAAATACCAAAATAAAAAAAGTGGGAAAGTAAAAACAAATTACAGTGACTCTCCAGACTAGACATTTTCCATGCACAGCTTTTGGGTATGATAATTATAGTAATTTTGCTTTTACTTGAGATTATTTCTAATCAAATTTTCAAGCTACCACTTTTCATGCCACAGAATAAAAACATTTTCAACCTGCCCTGCTTGGAAAAACCAGTTTAAGCTGATTACCAGCAAAATCATCATATTGTCCCTGTGGCTCAAAAACCTTGTTTTTCCATTTTCATTTTTGCACAATTTGAAAACTTCAGTTACTCTTTAGCCTACAGCAAGTTACAACTGTCACAGATGTGTCACACTGAATAGACCAGACAAGCACACAGACTGTTAACAAGTATTTAACTAAAGCACAAATAAAATAAAAATACAATAAATATGAGCTGTTGAATGTAGATGTTGTAATACAAGGTCCAGTTTCCAGACCCAGATTATCTAAACCTACAGACTAAAAAGAATTTTCAATAGTGAACCACCATTAGTGGGGCGAGTCAGTCCAATAATAGGCTTAATCTACACTATACAACCAAAAGTATATGGACACCTGACCAACACACCAATATAAGCATGCTGGGCATTATGTTGGCGTTGATATGGAGTTGTGGTCTATTACAGCTTCCACTCTTCTGGGAAACTTTCTACAAGATTTTGGAGAGAGTCTGTGGGAATTTGTGTCCGTTCATCTTGAACATTTGTGAGGTCAGACTGTTGGACGAGAGGGTCTGGATCACAATCTCCGTTCTAGTTCATCCCAAAGGTGTTGGATGGGGTTGAGGTCAGGGCTCTGTGAGGGCCAGTCAAGTTCTTCCACACCAAACCCTTCAAACCATGTCTTTATGGAGCTCGCCTTGGGACAGGGTCTTGTTGCCGCTACGTTAGAAACATATAAATGTCTACCTGCTGTACCATTAACATCACCCTTCACTGGAACTGAGGGACCCAAACCCTGAAAAACAGCCCCAGCTCATTATCCCTCCTCCACCAAACTTTTGGCACTCTGCATTTCCTGGCATTCGCCAAACCCAGACTCGTCCATCAGACTGACAGATAGAGAAGCTGATTCATCACTCCAGTGAACACGTTTCCACTGCTCCAGAGTCCAGTGGCAGCACTTTACACCACTCCAGCCGACACTTGGCACTGCACATAGTGATCTTAGGCTTGTGTGCAGCTGCTCGGTCATTTAAACCCCCTTCATGAAGCTCCCGACACACAGTTCTCATATTGATCTTACTTCTAGAGGCAGTTTGTAGTGAGTGACGCAGCAGAGGACAGGCCATTGTTAGCATGGTCTACAGCTTCTTGTCTGAGCTGTTATTGTTCTAAGGTACTTCTGTTTCAAAATAATAGCACTTACAGTTGACAGGGGCAGATCTAGCAGGGAAATTCCCCAACCTGACTAGCGGCAGAGGTGGCTTCCTATGACTGAGCCATGTTTAGTCCCTGAGCTCTTCAGTGCGACCCTCTACTACCAGTGTTTGTCTATGGAGGTTTTGTGCTTGATTTTATCCACCTGTTATCAATGAGTGTGGCTGAAACTTGTGATTAGGAGGTGCGTCCTCATACTTTTCGCCATATTGTGTATGTCTATGAAAGCATCATAGGATGTTTTGACATTTTTGTACATTTTTTTTTATTTGCTTTTATAGTTATGTTTTATTATTAAGATGTAATTTTATATAAAATACCTTGAATCATGAATTTTTGCTTCTCTGGGTCTTTATCCTGACTGTGCATCCAAGTTTAAAGGGGAATCCAATTATTCTGCATAATTCAGTGTCTGAGATGTAAACAGAGTGATTCAGAGTGGTTTGGTGTGAAATGGTTCAGATGTCTTTACAGTGGTGGTGATAGGAACCAGGGGTCGCCATGACTACAACACAAATATAGACATTTTATTTACTATCCAGAACCACCAGTGAACCTACACGAGTCTTCTGAGTTTATATGGAATGTTGATGATGGAAAATAGTGGTAAGTTTTCTTTGGGGACTATTTTGCCTTAAAACACCCTGCATGTATCCCTCCACTGTAAAGCATTTTAAAGCCAAAATCTTTTCAAAACTATCATAAAACAGCGTCTCAGTCATCAGGCAGTGAATTCATAAACATTTCATGTAATAACTGTATATGAGGGAGCTTTTAGAGGTGGACGTCTGGTTTCTATCACCACCACTGTGAACAGTTCTGACTCGGTAAGTTTCTCTAGAACAGAGCGTTTCACACCAAACCACTCTGAACGACTCTGTTTACATCTTGAACACTTATTTATGCAGGACTTTTGAAAAAGCTGTGGAATTCCCCTCTACGTGCTTCGGATTACAGTTGCTTTTATGAAAAGTGCTGTGTAAATAAAGATTTGATTGATTGATGTGATTGGTGGCGCTGGAGGGACATTTATAAAAGCTCCTGTCAATCAAAACTGTCTGAAAGAGCTCTTAGAGAGCGAGATGTAGAAAAGTGTTCCTCCATTTGCGCTTTTGAACAGATTTAAACGATTCGCTCTTCAGCTGAACTGAACGGTCCATTCAGAGTCGCTCCTCTGCTGAAAGAGCGAGGAGCTGAGAAATTATAGTAATGACAAAATGACTCATTGGATTTGATTCAGTTCAGTTCATGAACAAAATAATGGATGAACAGAGAGAAAAGTAGGTTACATCCTCACGTTCATGGCACGATATTTGGTCAATATTCAGTTCTTTGGCTCATTTATTCCCCTAAAAATTGATACTGTTTCTTAAAAATAAGCCTTTAAACATTCAAACTGGAGTTGCCAACTAAAACAGTGCTAGTTTCGTTTTAAATGTGCAAAAGTGGACAAGTTTCCTGTTGTTGTTGTTGTTAACACTTTCACTGAAGAGGTTTTTAATGCACAGTTACCGTTTACTGAATTTAATGTTTTAGAACATATAAAACATAAAATGTGACCTGAGCAAAAAGTTATGACACCTTATATATTTTATGTTTTATTTGTATTTCAAGTTCATTTAGACAGCATTAGCTCTCCACTGATACACTGTAAGAAATGGTTTGTGAATTCACCCAAAAAATTATTATTCGCTTTATTAGAACTACTTTCTGGATATTAATTTTTATTAAAACGTCATCTTAGATATTCATTTTATAACAACTTCACACTAGACTTTAATTTTAGAACTTCATTCTAGAAGGTAATTTTTTATTAAAAAATACAATCTGGATGTTGCTTTCATTAGAGCTGCATTCTAGGAATTAATGTTTTTAGAACTTCATTCTCGATATTAATTTTGTTAGAACTTCGTTCAAGATAATTTATTAGAACTTAATCCTGGATATTCATTTTATCAGAACTGCATTCTGGATGTTCGTTTTATTAGAACTTCATTTTTGATATTGATTTTATTAGAACTGAATTCTGGATAGTGATTTTATTACAAATTCTTTCTGGAAATGAATTTTATTAGAATGATCTGGATTAAGCTCGCCGCCACTGGACTCTGGAGCAGTGGAAACGTGTTCTCTGGAGTGATGAATCAGCTTCTCTATCTGTCAGTCTGATGATGAATCTGGGTTTGGTGGATGCCAGGAGAACGTTACCTACCGGAATGCAGAGCCAACAGTAAAGTTTGGTGGAGGAGGGATGATGGGCTGGGCTGTTTTTCAGGGTTTGGGTCCTCAGTTCTGGGGCTGTTTTTCAGGGTTTGGGTCCTCAGTTCTGGGGCTGTTTTTCAGGGTTTGGGTCCTCAGTTCCAGTGAAGATTATACAATTTTATGCTTCTTTTTTATGCTTTACACTCTTTTGCCTGAATGCTTCACTCTCCAAAATCTTGTAGGAAGCTTCCCAGAAGAGTGGAGGCTGTTATAGCTGCAAAGGGGGACCAACTCCATGGTTTTGGGGTCGGACGTCCAATAAGATCATAGGAGTGATGGTCTGTTGTCCACATACTTTTGACACTCAGTGTATATTATGTGGGGGAACTGAACTGCAGGGTGTTACGGCTGTGTGACACTGTGTAGAGTTTTATTCTAAGATATATGCAGCTGAAGATGCATCTCTGATCCTGCACGCTGTTATGGTTTGATACTGGCTGGTTTTATGTTATAATGGGCTGTTTATTGTGTGTTTGATCTATTATTTCGTTCATTTTTCTGGGCTCTGTCTCCTCTTGTCATCTTATTAGACGAGCGTCTCAGTAAAAGAGTCCAGTAGGGAGCAAGTCGTGAGGAAGAAGCAGTAGGTCAAAGCTTTGAGGGGTTTTTGTGTGAATGCCACGTCCCTCTGGCCAGAGGAGTGCCCAGAATAAAAGGTTATAGTGGTCATTACTGTGAGCTTTGGCTGTGGGTGCTTCTGGCTGCAGATCTGCTACACTCTTAAAGATTATTCCTCAAGGGTTCTTTAGAACCATGTACAACCATTTCATGCTTAAATGGTTCTTTGCATGGTGGAATGGTTCTTCTGATTGATGGACAATGCACTAAAATGGGTTCTTCTATTGTTACAGTCTTGACATCATTATGATGGGAGACTTCCTTTTGGTGCTATTTAGAATTTTCAAAAAGGTTTTAAGTAGAACCATATACAGCACATTCTCCATCAATCGTAAGAACCATTTCACCATGCCAACAAACATTTAAGCATGAAATGATACCATATAGAACTAATGGTTCTATATAGAACCATTCCCTTTACTAAAGAACCCTTGAAGAACCATCTTTTGACAGTAATAAAGGCTGAGTTAATCTTACAGGCAGCTTCTAACAGCTGGAGAACCCTGCTGTATGGAGCTCAGTGAATGGCAGAGTGCAACTTTTATTATTATTATTATTATTATTATTATAAGATCATTAACACCATCAGCTTCTACAGCTCTTGCAGATTCTA